TACACTAAGCTTTCCCTCTTCAGCTCTTCCCTTTTTTTTCTCTCCAGCTTTCCCTCTTCAGCGCTCAATCTATTTCCAGGTCTGTTCACTGTGCCCCTGATGAGAATGACAGACCTTCTGAGCAGACTAGAACTTCTTAATTAACATCAATCTATGTTCCTGTCTATATTAGTGAGCTCACTAAAACTTTATAACAATGTACCAAAGCTATTTGTAAATTTAGTTCTTGTATCGTTGCTAAATGAGTATTTATCACTTACTTAATGCTACACATCCTAATTAAAAAATATCTAATGAAGTTGTGGCTATTTTTTCTGCAGCTACATGTAGTTTACGCTCAATGAACTAATGTGTGGTCATTGAACTACTGGTGTGGTGATTGAACTGTTCGGTGGTTATTGAACTGTTGTGTGGCTATTGAATTAACAAAAAGAAAAAAATGGGTTTTGTAAATATTGTGAATACTAACACTTTTTTTTATTCCAATGAAAAATTATCTCAAAGTTACGCTCATATGGATTCTCACGGTGCAACATTTGAATACCCAAAACATAACATAACATAACTTTATTATTTATATAGCGCAAAATACATTGGTATATGATCTAATTCGCTTCACATTACATTGCTTATAATAAAGTACAATGAAATGGATAAAAAATTACAGCTTTTCTAAATAGTTAATAAATGGATACTAGATAAACATATTATATATGCGTGCAAAAAAACAATGTTAAAATATTATAGGGTCTAATCTAAAAGCTAATTTAAAATAATGAGTTTTTAACCGCGCTATAAACGTTTTCAGGCAGCCCAAAGCTCTCAACTCGTCTGGAAGGGCGTTCCACAGGGTCGGCGCGGCTGCAAAGAAGGCTCTGTCTCCTGTTGTCTTCTTGATCTTGTTGGGCAGATCGAGCAGTAAGTGTTTTGTATTTCATCGCAGGTTATAATTTGACTGTGGCTTAAGTCTAATTATTATTCATTCAAAATATTTCTCCGATTCTGATTGGCTAAAAGTACGCGTTGAATTCACCATAACCAGTTACTGATGACCAAATTTGGAAGAATTTTGACTGTAACGAAAAAATGACGTCAAAAATGCAGCGTTTTCGCAGGCTAAGGCACCGTTAACCGAGAAGACCTGGGGACGAGGTTAAGTTGTTTTGGTTGTGAACTTGAAAAAATGGCGGACATTTCAGTCGTTTCAAGAGTAAGAACTAGGCGAAAAATAGCTAAAAACATGGCAAGAACAGCAAGAAGACAACCAAAAGGGCGACATCTGCTATTTGGAGAATATTTGCGGAGCTGGACAAACCTAAACGTACACTATCGAAGATGAACTGAACATCGATGGATCGATGGAGGTAAGCATGTTTTAGCTATGTTTTTAAACTAGGAATTATTTTGAATGAATAATAAAACAGTTATTGAATTCGGCTTTCGTATCATATGAAGAATTTTGGAGATCTCGGAGGGTGTTATCCGCCTCGGCCTACGGCCTCGACGAATAACACCCTCCTCGATCTCCATAATTCTTCATAAGATACTCAGCCTCATTCATTAACTGTTAATTAATTGATGAATATATGTGGGAGCACTACCATGTAGAGCTTTGAATGTGTATACAACCAATTTAAACATTATACGGTATTCAACTGGTAGCCAATGCAAGTCTTTCATAACAGGAGAAATGTGATCAAAACGCGTGGTATTGGAGATGAGCCTTGCGGCAGCATTTTGAACCACAGGCAGCCCAAGCGCACTATTTGTGGGTTCGGGCTTCAGAGGTCATTTGGTGGGAATATACTAGAATTATTAGTGTATTATCTGACGCCAAATAAATGCAAAAAGTCTTTTGCGTTTTTGGGTTTCATGTGTCATACACGCGTGAGCTGTTTCCGGCCGAATTAAACGCACCGGCTCCCCGGACGGTGTCGGTTTGCGATAGGGCAAAAGTGACGACCCTCCCCCCGCGAGAGTGACGTTTTGTCCATCTGACGCCGTCGCTAAGCTCCAAGATTTGAATCTCGTAGGATAACAGTTAAGATTGCGCATCATGGCGAAGCGAAGCTGGCCAGAATCGATGCGAAATGCAACGATCCTCGAGCTCATGCAGCCGAATTTAGAACCTGGCGCTCGTCGAACGGGTAGGTGTACACTCTTCGGTCTAGCTGGTGGCAATTTTAGGGAGATCGGTCGCTTTGTTTGGAATTTATTGGCCTTCGAGCGTCGAGGGTCAATTGGAAGGTCTTCAGCCTTCCCTTCTTTTATAGTGTTCAGTACTCGATGGAAAGAAAGTCGACTAAACGGCGTTTAAACCAGACGTAGGACACAGAGTGGCAATGAACGAAAGGTAAGGGAGCTTTTTGAATCAATATTTCGCGTGATCATGATTTTTTTCCCTTAGCGTTGTAGATTCGAATACATGTGATAAAATTCGATCAATAAGGGCCCGAATCACATGTAATAATGCAAGAAATATCGATTTTCGTTATCTTAAAGGCTACTAGTACCGATAGACAAATAAGAAGACTTCATATCTTTAAGACTTTTTGCATTTATTTGGCATCAGATAATACACTAATAATTCTAGTATATTCCGACCAAATGACCTCTGAAGCCCGAACCCACAAATAGTGCGCTTGGGCTGCCTGTGTTTGAACCCGTTACAACTTGATAATATAGCTGGCTGGTACGCCGTAGACTGTTACAGTAGTCTAGGCGTCCAATTACTAGTGCTAAGATTAGTGTTTGTGCACTCTTGTACGAAAGGTACTTTCTAATGCGTCTAATTTTGTATAGTGAACAAAAGGATAGACTACATGGTTTAGTAATGTGAACATTAAAATTCAACTGCGAGTCAAACCTAACTCCGAGATTTCGCGCCTTGTTTACAATAGCAACACTAGTAGCACCAACAGTCAGAGTACCTAGGTTGTTATTACAGGGGAGGGTTACAATTTTTGGGGCACACATTTTTGGAGGGGGTAGGATTTTTGGGCCGTTAACCTGAGAGGGGCTCAGCCCTCCCCCACCCCACTAATGACCGCTCACTAAACTTGAAGAGAAAAGTTAAAATCAGGGAAGAAAGGAAGCAAGAGAAATGAAGTTCTTCCTCTTTTCAGTATTTCCCGTGTGAATCCCTCACGCTTTCCTCTTTAATGTAGAGAAAAGTACGTAAGAGACTGGGAAAGAGTCATGTAGCTGAAGGAGAAAAAAAAAAAAAGAAAGAAAAACAGTCAAATCCCTTCACAAGATTTGAAGCTTATCATTTGGAAGGTATTATGTCCTCATCTCACGAAGGTGTCCCTGACCCTGGTAGTGCACTTACTGCTGGATTATTTGTATGCCCTTTTTGACCTCGTTTTTTCCATCATATACATTTTACCAGAGTGTCTTCATTAAGGCAACGATTGGCTCAACAAGGCACTGGTGGTTCAGTGGTAGAATTCTCACTTACCAGGCGGGAGGCCCGGGTTCGATTCCCGCCAGTACGTCAGTTCTCATTGATATGGATAAGAAAGAATGTGTCTAAGCTACATAGGACCGGATAAAAAGGTGTTATTTTGGCAACACTATTCCTAGGTCTGACTGTTTATTTCACATCTAATAAAGAAATAAAGGAAGAAAGAAAAAAACAATGGCTTGTCAATATTCTTTTGCGTTTTTCTATGATTGAAGAAAATAGGAGTCTTTGCGTTACTTCTTCGTTTTTCATACCTCGTAAGCTGAAAAGCTTAAGGCAAACAAATGCTCGCATTCAAGTGTTTATAGGATCAGTTTCGTATCGCTGATTTGATTCGGGATCACTCCTCATGAAAAGCAAGTTCAGTTGAAGGCTGTTGTGCGCTATACTTATTTTTTTTCTTTTTCTTTTTTTTGTGGTTACCTTATAACATCATATATCTTTGAGTCCAGTATAACGGGTGGTGAATACTTTCGTGATTTTCATCTCATTTGATTGAAAGTACAGGAACGACATGTGTACGACATAACCTTCCACATTAAACCTTATGCAATGACGGAAAGGTTGAAAAGGAAAAACAACTTATGTAAGAAGGGACGTATGAAGATGTACGAGATTTGGTAGTAAACTCTATTATCATAGAGAAAAAATAACTTCCACTTTTTTTAACTGCAACTTAAAGAATGACCAAGTCTTCCTTACACTACCTATAACGATATAAAATTCAGTACTGCGGAGTAAATTAAGCCTGGTTGTGTTACCAAGGAAATGGTCTATCATAACGAGTATTAAATACACACTGCAATAAAATGAGTCACTGGAAGTTTCATACTCAATTTTATTTCCTTACTTTTCAATTGAAATTATGCCAACTTTAACCTCTTCAACTTTATCCTGACGTAAACGCACACATGAAGTAATATAGAAATGAAAAATAATAGTTCTACAGTGCGAAGGCGGGAGTCGTGTGGACATAAGCGGGAGAGTACTATTTTTTCATGCAAACATAATGAAGGCCTTTGACGTTGGCCGTTTTGATACTAAGAACGCATTATTTGTCTGGACGAACTTGGGCAAACATTCTGTAGTTCATATGGTTATGCGTCTCTAGTATAAAGACGGGCACAACACGCTTTATGCGTCCAGACGAACTACCTTTCGTTGTGCGTCGTTCAACACGTATTTCGAAGGAAAGTTTGCATGTCCAGAAACATAATGCGTCTTGTGCCCGTCTTTATACCTGACACGCATAACCAGACGAAGTACTAATGTTTGCCCAAGTTTGTCCAGACGGATAATACGTCCTTAGTATAAAAACGGCCATTGACGTTTGGCTGTCTAATACTCTCTAGCCGGCGAAGCTTACGCCAAATTAAATTGCCTCTACACGCGTTGCATTTTCAGTCTATATTTGTATATGGTTTTCTTAACACACACTCACACAAAATTCAGTCCTCGCACGAAAAAATGTACTTGGAAAGCTAAACTTTTTAAACTTCTTTTGGAAACCACGGAAAGGTGGGAGACGTCCTTATTAGGACTGGGGCCTAGATACTTCTTCTATCATTATCCGGGACACTGAATTCCAGCCGGTGTGAGCATTACCCAGGGTGTAGCCACTACACTGTCCTACCCATAATTCCACTCTAACCGCCCCTTGTGAGATATTTTCACAGTACCCCTCGAATGACCGATGATGATGCAGATTAGGGTTCCCTGATGACCAGTCGTTGTAAACAACAGCCTCAATCGTCATTGTTCCACTGCATTCGTTTCCATTGAACTTGAAATACCAGCGATTACACTTATTATCACCATAAATCCTCATGTTTCCTTGGAATGAGACTTTGAGCGCCGTGTCCGATTTCAACTTGTTAAAAGTACAGTCCTAGAAAAAATAAATAAAAAAAAAACGATTAAATCTCTAATAATGCTAAATAACACAAGAAATAATATTTAAAATATCAGCAAGTCCACAGCAACAAACCAATGAGTGGTGCTGAATGTCCCAGTTGTAGACCTGGATCAGTACAACTGTGACGCAGTGAGAAGGCTCGAAAAGCTCATTGAATACTCAAAGCGAACACATTATCTCCTCTTGGAATAAATAGACTTGACGAAGCTCACTGATATATAATACCACGTAGTCTCCTATACCAATAACAACCCATTGTTTTTATTGTCAGATTTTCAAATTCTTATTTGTAACTAAATTCTAGTTTTATTTTCTTTTTTATTTTAGCCCCTGAAGAAGGTGTGTTTTAAAGCCGAAATATTGAGCAATTTGTCTAAATATATTTATTTTTTATTTTTTCATTGGAGATGAAGGCTGAGACAATGAGGTTGAGGTCATAGCTGTACTTTCAAGTTTATCGCAGAAAAACGGATTTTCGATCTTTTTCCACCTATGAACATCATCTGTGGTACTTATAAATAGTTCGTGTTTAGCTTTTAGGGCGTTTATTGTTTACCTTAATCTTTCCGTTATCAGTACCGCTGCCTGATTTCCACACACATTGTTTCCAGTTGGTTTGTGGTACTACACTTGCTTGACTTGCTTTGGCGCTTTCTCCTTTCTCTCCTTTGTCTCCTTTTCTTCCTTGATTTCCCACAATGCCTCGCTCTCCTTTTATTCCCACAAGCCCCGGTTCACCTTTTATTCCCATAATTCCTGGTGGCCCGCTCTTCCCGGTGGACCCTTCGCGCCCTCTTTTTCCTCTTGGACCCTGCACTCCTTACGATCCCTTATCACCAATTTGTCCTTTTGGACCTTCTCTTCCCTGAGGTCCCTGCGGCCAAGGCACGCCGGGCATTCCCGGCATGCCGTTTGACCCTGGAATGCCTGGAAAACCATGACTCAGTATAGATTTCTGAAAGTAAAGATGTCTAATTAAAAGAGCCATAGCCTATTATAGCAGTGAATGGAGGTAATGTATCGAGAGTAACTGAGTAGTTAATTAGAAATTAGAGGCAAAGCCGTAGTACATGCATACAAACCGGGGAAGACGTGGGGGGTGTTGGTGGAAGAAAAAGAAAGAGAAATGTGGGAAAGTCGACTTTTAAAGAAGTTTCCAAACCTTTTTATTATTTCGAAGAGATTAAACCAGTTAAGTTCACAAGAGACAGCAATTAGCTAGCACGTTATGACTTTATGGTTATTCTTGAAGGGTATCATGTTGATTTACACATTTTTAGTTCTTTACAGTCAAGCCAGGTCAAGCGTACCCCCCAAAATTCCACTAATGAATTTATTATTCGAAAGTTGAGTCCGCTGGCAGTTGTAGATTTCAGATTCATCTCTACATTATTGCATGCATAATGAGCCGTGAATTCACATGCGATTCATTTACGAAATTTCTACCAGCTCAGTTTCCCTGAATTTGATGTAAATGTCTTCTAAGAATTTTAATTAATTCAAAGATTTTCATTCTGACCAAATACAGACAAGTTCTCGTAAATTATTCACTGCTCATTACGCATGCAGTAATTCCGATTTGAATTTGACACCAGTTACGGGAACTACTAACGGATTCATTTTTTAAATAATCAATTCATTAATAGAATCTTGGGGGGTACCCTTGACCTGTTTTGACTGTAATTGTTGGTTACTGTGCTGCACTGCACTAGCTGGTGTGGGGAATTTCCAGCCGTGATTAGAATCAACTTCCGCATAACTTTCTAGAATCATCTCCGCTCCACTTGAACATTTAGACCTTCGGCTAGTGTCGGAGTGAAGAACGTTTCAACAGCGTATGGCAGATAGCATCAGCTGGGGTTTGAAAATGAAGAAGTTTGAACTACGAGAAGCCAGGGCACTCAGACGAACGCCATCGCGCCGCCTTCAAGCCCTTGTAGGTAAACCCGCCCAAAAAAAACGCAGCTGACACCAGAATCGCGCCACAGTTTAGCCTGCGTCACACACGTAAAGTCTGTTCTGGCCCCCCAACGGAATGAACGAATTACCGGTAGTGCATTTCAAATTTCCTTTCATCTGGATTGAAATTAAATTGCACTTATTAACACTGAAAGGGCTTATGCCGACTCTGTAGTCAACAATCATTACATGGATCGTATCATTGCTATTTTCGGCAGTTAAAATGGCAAAGACAGCTTTTTATGTCGTGTTTTATTAGCCCGTATGATAGATTGATATGTAAGAATACTTTCGATTGCCCTTACGCCTATGGGTAAAGCGTCCATTTTCAGTTAGTAGTAAAGAACAACAGGAAGTTTTAATCAAAATTCACGAAAACCTATTTAATCCATAAATAACCAAGCAGGAATTTTATATCAAGGATTATTTTAGTAAGGCTACGTATATTGATAAAGAAAGCGGTTGGAACAAACGGCTTGGCGAACTCCCAGTGATCCCATTAAGCAAAACAAAATTAAGAAAGAAGAAAAGAAATAATAATAGTAATCAAGATGATGATGATGATAATGATCATGGCGGCATCGAACATCGTCGGCATGACGTGTTTCTAGATACAAAGGAAGAATGGTGTCATATAATTGTTATAGTAGTCCCTGGGGTAGGGGTGAAAGCAAGGAAACGCCTGTCAGGGAGTTACCAAAAGGGTTAAAAGTGAAAAAAGAAAAGTCGGGAAAGCGCAAGGATTTAAGAAGGAGGGTTGCTCGGCTGAGGAATGTAAATGCTTCAGAATCACGTAATAGTTGGAGCTTTGGTTATGGAGACGAATACAAATTCATCAGACTAGGATAATAATGAAAAAATAATAATAATGAAAATGATAATGATGATGATGATGATGATGAGGAGGAGGACGATGATATAATAACCAAATAATAATGATAATAATGATAAAAATGAAAATAACGATAATAATATCATCAATGATATTAAAAATAACGATAAGTGAATGATAAATTTTTAAAACCAAAAAAGTCTTAAAAGCTAGCGATATATTTAGATGTTTTGTGGTGGAAAAGAGAAATTCCTTTTTAAAACAAAGTTAAGTCTCCCTGCATTTCATTTGTTGCTTGCCTTCATAAACAACGCCAAAACGGAGAGCTCCGCCCTCAATTCAATTGATATGACACGGCGGTCTATAGATACCCGTCTATTCGTTATTGAGAAACTGCGAAATAAATTGTCTAAACCTGGGCAGGTCAGAACAACCTTTGGGGCCAATTTTGAAAAGCAGTCTTAACAACAGAAGAGTCAAAGCTGGTATTTTTATTGTGCAAATATAAACTCGGTTGCGAAACTTTTTGATGCGATTTTGATGTCAAGAATGACATGGATCGTATCATTGATATTTTCGGCAGTCAAAATGGCAAAGACAGCTATTTATTGTATAAACACCAATGAAATACCAGGTGAGCTTTTGCTCGACAACTTGATATCTTCAAATGTGAAAATGTCACCGTTGCTATGGCTACATGATAAATCGCGCCTTTCACACCAAAAAAACAACTAAAGTGAAATGGTTTGGTATTTTATTGGTGTTTATATAATAAATAGAACATTACATGGCCGCTGGAGATACAAAATTGCTCTTCTTGTTTGGAAAAAAATATTTCACGAGGAACACAGCGAACGAGTGAAATATTTTTCAACACTCGAAGAGAAATCATTTGTATCACCGCGCGGCCATGTAATATCAGCTATTTCTTTTAACGTATTTTATGAGCTCATATAATAGATTCATATGTAAAAATACTTTCACTTCATATGTAGGCCTATGTTGTTGCATCGTATGACCCTCATTTCTTTTTGACTGTTTCGTAAAAAATTGGGCAACTTGCGAGAATTTTTTAAGCAAATAGTTTACCGCTGTCCTGGCGAAAAATTGCCGTACGCCTCTGGGCAAAGCGAGAATAAAAGCGTAAACTTCCAGTTAGTAGTGAAGAACGGCGGGAATTTTTAATCAAAATTCACGAAACCTAAAATAATCCATGTAAAACAGGAAGTTTAATAAATAACCTAGCAGAAATTTTTTAAAAAGGATTATTTCAGTGAGGCTACTTATATTGATAAAGAAAGCGGTGGATTCAAATGGTTTGGCGAACTCCCAGTTATCCCCTAAGCAAAACAAAATATATCGATATTTAAAGAAAGAAACAAATAAAATAATAATTGTAATCAAGATGATGATGATGATATTGAACATCTTCGGCAGAACAGAATATTTTTAGATAAAACGCAAGGATGGTGTCATATAATTGCCAGGTTATAGGAGTCGCTCAGGGAACTACACGAATGGTTAAAATTGAAAAAGGAAAAGCCGGGAAAATGCAAGGATTTAAGAAAGAGAGTTGCACGGCTCAGAAGTGTAAATGCTTCAAAATCACGTAAAAGTTTAAGCTTTGGTTATGGTTAAGAATGCAGATTCTTCAGACTAGGGTAATAAACTAATAATTGCTAGGATAATAATAAAATTATAATAATAATGATGATAATGATGATGATGATGATGATGATGATATACAAAGTAATAACCAAAAACTAACGATAACAATGATAAAAATGAAAAAAAAAAGATAACGTTAACTGCAATGATATTAATAATAATAACGATAAATCAATTATACATTTTTAACACCAAAAAAACCTTAAAAGCTAGGGATATATTTACTAGACATTTTATAGTGGAAAGAGAAATTCCTTTTTAATAAGCCAAGCTCAGTCTCCCCGTATTTTATTTTGCTTTTTGCCTTCATAAATAAAGCTAAAAAGGAGAGCTTCGCCGTCAATCGATACCCATCTATTATTGAGAAGACTGCGAAATAAATTCATCTAACACTGGGTAGATCAGAACAATCCGCGAGACCAACCTTTGGGGCAAATTTTAAAACGCAGACTTAACAACAACAGAAACGTTGAGGTTTACGTTATCTATCAACTAAATAATAAATCGTAAATCTCAGAAAGAGCACGGTGCCTCATGACGAAGCTGGCATTTTCATTGTGCCAATACAAACTCCGTTGCAGACCTTTTTGATGCGATTTTCTTGTCCACCCACTGCCCGAGACCCAAAAATGTCAGCTAAAACAGAATAACTGTTTCATACCTCGCACAAATCTTTTAAATTTGCGGTGTTTTGTTGCTGAGGTGAGGTGGTTGTTCCCAGTGAACCGCTAGAGAAAGAGAAAACCAAGAAAACAGCGAAATACTGAACCATCATTAGAGCTCAACCAGAACACTGTGATTACTGAAATCAGTGCTACGCGCTCATCAGTTAAATAGCAAATATTTGTTTTGTTCCTGTTTTAATGTTGCTGGTTACCTCTTTATTTTATCTCCTTTTATGGTAGAAATATTTGTTTGTTTTCCTTGTCGAACAAGCTCTCCCTTTCAAAGTGAATCGTTATACGTGCAGGTACAGTTTCAATTTCTATATATTTATCTATATTTATCTATATTTAATTCACCATATCATTTACCTCGTATCTTTTAGCCACCATATCATCTACCTGTGCACGTTTCTTTTAAGTTCAATTTTTCTTTTGCAGAAACCTTTTTACTCGATCTCATTATACGTTTGCACGTTTGAGAACTCGGACTTCGTACTGAAACAAGTGCATAATTTTAGCCAACTGAAGTAACTTTAATTTGTTATGTGCAGGATATTTCTTGCCTCATTTTTCTTGATAATGCCCTGTTTTCTTTTTTAGTTCTAACCCGCAAAAAATGTAGGGTTGCAACCTCTTGAAATCACCCACTTCTACGTGGTTAGTGCTTACTATTAAATTACAATTTTGATTCAGCGCCAGCCACGCAAGTTCCAACCTGACAAAGTTCATAAGTAATATTCTTTGAATAATCTGTTGCTAAGCATTTATCATTAGTAATGAACTCTTAGCAAGGAGAGAAAACGGATAAGTAACAACAAAACCAGTTAAAATCAAACGCTATGCCAAAGCATAATGTTATTTATGTCGATACTATAGTCTGTCTTTCAGACGGTCTTCAGGGGTTGTCTCGCTGCATAGATGGTCATCCTGTAGGTTTCAAAACGTTCTTCTTGTATCTGTTAAGTTTTTCCCGTCTTTAGCCCGCGCGGGACTGGTAGAAGAACTACGTCATTTATATGTCGTTGTAATATTATGGTCTGGCGCATGTGCTCGCTCGAAAATCTTGAGGTAAAGTTCTAGTCGAGTTCTGTTCGTTTACACGGCCTAAAGTCTTTTCACGTTTCCTTCGAGCCTTCAAATCCTGTAAGTATGTTGTCGCTAAGTATTTTCATCTTTCTTCCTTTTATTCACACTCGTTTTTGTTTTTCGTAGTCTAACCAGATCCTTGTAACGAATCTTTGGTCCGAATCTCCTTGGAATAAATTCATATGAACATTTAAGTCTACATTTGCGTTAGAAGGATATGCTGGTTTCGTTGTGGATCGTCTTGGATTTTCGTCGATTGTGCCATGAATTTATCCGTTCTTTGATTGATTGGTGTTATCGATAATTTGTTTCTTCGCTTGTGGATCGATTGTAGAGTAAGATGGACTTACGTGGGTTGAAAACCAAAACTGTCGACGTCGATGGAGCCGTTCACGAGAGAATTCTTCGCTTAAAGCGTAGTAGGTCCGGTTCAAAGGCGGCCGTCACCAGAAGACAGCGCGAATTACTTGAGCTAATGAAGAGCTCTGACAATGTTGATCAGGTTAGAGCGAAGTTTCTTGATTTAGAAGTAGCTATGAGACATTTTAACGAAGCACATGATAAGTATCACGCTGAGTTGACTGATGAAAGTGCAATTCGGGACTCGATCGAGTATTTTGAATCAGTGAAACGTATGGGAACTGCGGTGTTTCAGTCATTTGATGTCTGGTTGCAATCTGCTCAGTTTAAGCTCCAAGAAGAATTAGATCTTGCCATCAGTCTTCATCCGGAAGACTCTATCAGTAATATTAGTTCTACGAAATCGAAGTCTGCTGCAAGTTCTAGGAGGCGCAAGTCTAAATCTAGCGCTAGTTCCAGTCTCTCACAGTCAAGCACCGCTTCAAGTGCAGGGCTGAGAGCCTCTGCTAAGAAAGCTGCCTTGTCAGTGGAAGTAGCTGCATTGAAGACACGGCAGGACATTCAGTTAGAAGAACTCTTGTTGAAGCAGAAGAAAGAGAATTTTGAGTTGGAAAGTAAGTTAGCAAAGGCCGACGCTGAAGAAAGGGTGTACAGTTATTGTGAGGAGCGACGTCTGTCAACACTGTCAAGTCAGTTACCGACTTTACATGCAACCAAGAAGGAGAGCACCGTGGGTATGCCTGAGGGCCAAGAAAGTCATACACTGACACTAGCAGGTCAATTTGCAACCTCCACTCCAGGTCAAGTCGAAGAGAAGGAAACTGTGGAAGCTCCAGTTCATCAGACAGAGGAAAATCAAGAGGTTAAATGCAGTCCACTAAACCCAGACGCCCCTGTATGGAAAGGTTACGGATGCTCACCCTCTGCGATTAATGGTGAAAGTGCTGAAGGTGGATTATTGGAACAACACCTAGATCTAAGTGACAAGAATGTCAGTCACGTGATTGAAGTCCAGAAGATGCAACAACAACAAAATCAACAGCTTCAGGAGTTGCTGAAACAGCACCAGCTTCAAACATTAGCCATGACATTGCCACAGCCTGAAATCTCTGTGTTTTCGGGTGATCCTGTTGAGTACTCTGACTTCGTGCGAGCCTTTGAAAATTTAATAGAGTCAAAGACAAGCAGCCCGAACTCACGTTTGTACTATCTCGTTCAATATACATCAGGAGAAGTGAAGGAGTTAATGCAAAGCTGTTTGTCGATGGATCCCAAAGAAGGCTACAAGACTGCAAGAGCACTCCTTAAGGATAGATATGGTCAAAGCTACAAAATAGCAACTGCCCTCATTGATCGAGTAACGAAAACTCCTCAGATTAAGTCAGATGATGGTCCTGCTTTGCAAAGGTACTCGGTTGTACTTGCAAGTTGTAAGAACTCTCTCAAGGAAATTGGATACCTAAACAAAATTGAAAACCCTGACACTCTCCAAAGGATCATTGGAAGGTTGCCACTTTGGCTAAGACAGAGATGGAGAGAAAAGGCTGATTACATCAATGAAGAGCTGAAAAGAGAGGTCACTATCGGAGATGTTGCAGAATTTGTTGAAGCAAAGACTAGAATAGCCAACCATCCAGTGTTTGGGGACATCCACTCGAATGATGACAAGAACAACGCTGTAGGCATTGGTTCCAAAAGAAGGTACAGAACACCATCAAAGGAGCACAAAGGTTCTGCTTTCACGACACAAGGAACCACCCCGGAAAGTACTACTGACCCACCTAAGGACAACACTGAACGTGCGCCTGACAAGTCGAACGTCAAGTGCCCATTGTGTAAGGAGAGTCATTGGCTGTCACGCTGCCAGCTTTTCAGAGGAAAGTCGGTTGATGAGCGAATTAGTTTTGTGCGTAGTAGAGGACTGTGTGATAATTGTCTTGTTGCGGGACACATGGCGATGTCGTGCCCCAAGAAAAGCTTCTGCCAGATTGTCGGATGTAAGATAGGTCATCGGAAACATTCTACGTTCTTACACCCAAAGAATGACAAACCAGTCAAAGCACCAACTCCATCAGTATCTGAGACCCAGTCGAGCACCACGGAGAATGAGAATCAGAATGGCCAAGCCCGAAGCTGTTTCACTGAAATGGTAGCATGTGAAGGAGTGTGTAGTGCGACTGGGGCCGGAGCATCAGCTACAGGACTTGCCATAGTTCCAGTTAATGTCAGAGCCGAGGGAAGGGAGAAGATGGTTCAAACCTACGCGTTTCTGGATCCAGGGTCGAACACTACATTTTGCACTGACAAGTTGATAGAACGTCTAGGTGCAACAGGTAGAAAAGCGATGCTGTCTTTAACTACCATGGATAGTGATAATGTTAAGAGTGAAAGTCTAGTGGTCAATTTGGAAGTTTCTGATCTGCAAGGACGTAATGTCGTTGAACTGTCAAATGTTTTCTCACGAGTCAAGCTTCCAGTCACCGTTGATGATATGCCGGTTCAAAGTGATGTGGAAAGGTGGTTCTACCTGAAAGATATCGACTTACCTTGCATTGATGCCGACATCGAATTGCTCATAGGTAATGATGTGCCCAAACTTCTTGAACCTCATGAAGTGCAGAGAAGTGAAGATGGTGGTCCTTATGCCGTGCGAACACTGCTAGGATGGACCATCAATGGCCCACTCGGTAGGGCAAGTAAAGCAGCCCGTACTTCAAACCGTATCCAGTCTCATGTTGTCTTGGACCAGCAGTTTGTACGTTTCTGTGAAATGGAATTTAATGATTCGCAGTTCAGCATTGAGAAAGGATTGTCTCAAGATGACAAGAGAGCCCTTGCCATAATGGAGGGTTCTGCTGAGCTCCGCGGTGGTCATTACGAAGTTGCGCTTCCTTGGAAGGTCTTCCCTCCAGATCTGCCCAACAACAAGATCGTCGCTGAACATCGTCTTGGGTTGCTGAAGAAGAGGCTGCTGAAGGATCCCCAACTACACCGGAAGTATTCTTTATTTATGGATGACTTGTTTGACAAAGGACATGCACAGAAAGTTCCTGAAGGTCAGCGAGAGGATTCACCCTCATGGTATCTACCTCATCACCCCGTCATTCACCCACAAAGGCCCGGCAAGGTCCGGGTGGTCTTTGACTGTGCCGCAAAATTCCAGAATGTCTCGCTCAATCAACAGATTTTGCAGGGACCTGATTTAACCAACTCGCTCATTGGAGTCCTAACAAGATTTAGAGAACAGCCCACAGCCATCATGGCTGACATTGAGAAGATGTTTTATCAAGTGCGCGTACCAATAGAGGATAGCAGGTACCTCCGTTTCCTGTGGTGGCCGAGTGGTGAAATGGACAAAGAACCAGAAGAATTTCAAATGCTAGTTCACCTTTTCGGGGGAGTTTCATCTCCCAGTTGTGCGAATTATGCACTACAGAAAACGGCTGAAGACAATGCGGAACATTTTGACAAAGACACCATTCAGACGGTGAGAAGAAATTTCTATGTTGATGACTGCTTGAAGTCTGTGGAAGATAACCAACAAGCAAGTCGACTGGTCGATCAGCTACGTCAGTTGCTGGCCAAAGGAGGTTTCCGCTTAACGAAATGGGTTTCAAATGCCTACGATGTCATCCAGTCAGTCCCAGTATCCGAGAGAGCC